CAGTGCCCATTATCTGGTTATCTAGTCAGTGCCCAGCCAACATTTCCCATTCCCAGCCAACTCAACGTAATAATTCGTTGTGTTTAACCACTTTCCAATATTCGTTAACATATAAGTATCTCTGTAGCTTCCGATTCTCCCCGCCAAGCTTTAAGCTATCAGATAGACTGGGGTTGATGCAATCCCATCCCCGATGACTAAGATGACTAAGCGCACGCTTCAGCACTTAACATATTTTTGTTATCGCTAATTGATTCAAAGTTGCATGTGCTATGGGGAGTGCAGTTTCGAAACCCCTTGAATATTAATATTCCACAGAAGAGAGAGAGCTTAAATTTTTACCACTTTACGGTAGTTTTTTTGCGGGCTTAAAACAATTTGTTTATCAATTTTCTTTTAATGACAAAGTCATGCATAAATTGATCTTTTATTTGTTCTATTAAACATTCAATGATTAATACATCAGATGACGTACTAAAAAATTGTAGTCAAACTTATAAACCTATATACGATTTTAATGAAAAGCACTAAAAAGAGTAACGAAAGCTTATTTACATTTTTGTAAGTTCACTCTATCTAGTTCCCAAAAAACAAAAACTTATCAAATTTCATAACCATCTACACCTAAAGAGATCACATTTACTTACTAATACCGTACTAACAAAGATTTTTTGTTTCTGTTCTCTTTCCCCAACAGAACTTAGTTTCAGCGATACTTGTAAGTACCGGATCAGGATTATATAGCTGCCAAAGCTTCTCTTTACATAGTATTCAGTTTACCTACGGTGGGTGCTTGATAAGATGGGATTGGTTTAAATGATCTTTCCATTGCGAGCACCGACTGCATTGCTTTCTCATTTCTGTATATGTATATATCTGTAAACATCATTTGTATAGCTATTGCTTGTTTTTCATGTTTCCTATTTGACTTCTGTCTTCGATTGTGCTTCAGTTTACGCCCACGATTAAACCCATTTTTTTTGTTTTAAACGTTGTATATATGCACTCGGTCCCAAGATCGGTTCCCATATGTTTTTGTCCTGTTTGCTCCCATTAATCGTGCACTGAAGAGCGTATTCCTGTCTCTGTCTCATTCATTTCATGCCAGATTTGGTTTGGTTTCATGGCCTTGCAAAATGATTTGAAGTCTTGTGATGAGTACGACTGACCGATTTGCAAGGTTATTTAATGTATTTAGCTTTGGAAATGGTAAAGAGTTGTAGACACTTGTTTCCCCCATCCACCATACTTTGTGTGTACATATGCCACTCCCACAACCTTCCATCTCATTCAAGTTGTTCGTCTTCCCGATTATTAGGTTTGTGGAAATGCGCGCGGTGCCAAAATACGATCCATACTTAGCTCCATTATTCAGAGCGAGACCATCTACGTGGAGTGCCTCAATAAAATGATGCAGGTGAGTTATCCGGCTTAAAGGACCAAATTTGTATTGTGAAGGGCAGAGTAGAAAAATATAATTAGTCTAAGCAGTGTTACCTATAAGACATATTTGTCAAATTGAGTAATTTTTGACAAAACCAAAAAAAAAATGCCCTACAACGTGTATAAATTAAAACGTGATTTTGTGAAATTGTTAAGATTAACAAAGTGGCTAATAAATATTATTATAAAATGTAGTACAAAAAGGCCATCCACGCGACCCTCAACACTTCGCAGCCTGTGATTAAGGAGGAGGAGGAGAACACAATCTTCTTCAAAATCGACGAACTCCACGATCTGCACACCGTCTTTCTGTCCGACCTGAAGACGATTGTGTCCCACGAGGGGGGCGATGTGCTGATCGGGGAGCCATTTCGTCGTCTGGCGGAGATGTTCGACCTATACAGCGACTTTTTGCACAACTACAAGAACGCCATCGAGACGGTGAAGAAGTGCAGTGCGAATAATCCGCAGTTCAAGAAGATCGTCTCGACAATAGTGGTCAATCTGCAGACGGAACAATCGCTAACGCTCGAGGATCTACTCCATAAGCCGGTGGCGCGGGTGCAGATCAACGCGTTGGTCTTCAACGACTTGCTGCGCGAGACCCCCAATGCCCATCCGGATCACCAGCCGTTGCGTCAGGCGCAGAAGATCATCCAGATGTTCCTCAACCAGTTCAATGTGGTCAACCAGCGGCTGCCCAGCGAATCGAATCGGAATTTAAGACGCATGGTGCGCAATTCGTTTATCGTGGAACTGGTCGATGGCCACCGGAAGCTGCGACATCTCTTCCTTTTCAACGATGTGATTGCGTGCGCCAAGTACAAGGCACTCGGGCGCGATCGCATCGACTACGAGCTCAAGTGGTTCATTCCGCTGAAGGACATAACCATTTACGAGGAGTCGGATCCGGCGGCCGAGCTCAAGGAATCTAGTCCCGCGAACATTTCGCAAGTGAAGCGCAATCTGCGCTCCGTTCGAGATCAATTGGCCCTGGAGGTGGCCAACAGTGGAGGTGGCGGCGTCCGTTCCGGCGACAAGTACCGCCGCAAGCTGGCGGATCTGGAGTCACAGCTGGTGCTGGCCACGCCCAATCTGGTGCTACGGCTGGGCAACAAGGCCAACAACAAGACCATGACCTTCTTCCTCAGCTCGGACTTTGAGCGGACGCAGTGGGTCGACTCGATCGCATCGCTAAAGGTATGTTTTTGCACCTTTATGACTGGAGATGTACCTTAAAAGCCATATTCCTTAGCAAAAGTGCAACCTGCCTGGAGCCAACACCATCAATTCGCTGGAGGTCACCGCCTTTATTGTGGCCATGCAGAAGGGCATGAAGACTGAAATGGGTTCGTATCTGATGCGCAACACCAACGACGAGAGCCTGCTGGTTGGCGACCTGCACATGGGTGTCCAGGGATTGGGGGGACTGGAGCAGGCGGCCGACTTGTACATCTGCATCGAGGTGGACTCGTATGGCCACTATTTCCGCAAGGCCACCACCAAGATGGTGTGTCGCAGCCAGGCGCCGTTGTGGAACGAGAGCTTTATGCTCGAACTGGAGGGCAGTCAGAATGTGAGAATCCTTTTGTACGAGGCCAAGGAGCGACCGCTCCTGAAGGCCAAGCACATACTCCAGGTGCGTCCATATGCTGCCCTAATTTGTTATTTGTAAATAACAATTATTTGATCCTGCAGTTAAGCCTCAGTTGGCTGACGGAAACCACGCAACCGCGAACAATTAAGCTTAGTGAGACTTTGGAGCTGGGCTGCAGCTTCCGGTTTGTGCCCGGCGAGCTGTGCCGCGCCACCACCAAGCCAGGAGCCCTCTTCGGTGCCAAAATGAGTCAAGTATTAAAGTGAGTATAGAGGCCTTTTTCATACCTCTTTTTTACTTACTTGAATTTGGATTGTTACCCAATTTAGACGCGAGAAACGCGACATTCCGTTCATCATCAGTGCCTGCATTCGGGAGGTGGAGCGTCGGGGCATGCTGGAGGTTGGCTGCTATCGTGTCAGCGGTTCCGCCTCAGACTTGGCCAAGCTCAAGAAGGCCTTTGAGTCGGGTGAGTAGATCTGCTATTGGGGAGTTACCATGTCTATATTAATTTCCCTTTGAATATATCTTATTCAGATGCCTATGAGGCGGAGCAGTTGCTACGCGAAGTAGACATCCATTCGGTTACTGGCATTTTGAAGACCTTCCTGAGGGAGCTGCCCGAGGCCCTGTTTACGGACCAGCTTTATCCACGATTCTTCGACACATTCAGCGCCTTTAGCAACAACAACGAAGCCACGCGAATCAACGAGCTGCTTAAGGTTTTTGAGGAGCTGCCGCAGGCCAACAAGGCCTCGATCACCTCGATTCTGGATCATCTTATTAGGTGGGTGCAAGCCTGCTATACTAAACTGAAAGATTACTTATGCCAGGTGTGAATCGTTTTTATAGAGTCCACGAAAAGGAGACGGACAACAAGATGTCGCTGCACAATCTGGCCATGGTGTTTGGACCAACCTTGCTGAGGCCGGGACAGACGCAGGTGAAGCAGAAGGATCCGCTGGCGGCCAGCACCGTCGATGTGATGGCCCAGGCGGGCATCCTTTACTGTTTCCTGCAGGCACGCATCAAGAAGAATTAGGGCTTAGAGGGCCGCCTGCAGAGATATACATATGGAATATATATATATACATAAATTATATATTTTTTTTACATAGCAATAGCGGTAATACGAACGAAATTCGATGAAAAGCCTACGCATACACCACGCCCCCACCTGTCTGCCACGCCCCCTTGCACAAATGACACACAAAAAAGGCCTAAAACTCTGGCAAATGCCCTAAAGTCACCTGAATTCACATTTAATTCGCCTAAAGTACCCTTTAAACGCCTAAAACACCCAAACACATTTTAAAACACCTGCGCTGCCAATTGTAAATACCAGAAAACCGAAACTACAACTAAAAACTGAAGATGAGGATGGATCTGGCGAGGAATTCGAAAGCCCTAGGATTTCAAAAAGGATCCAGGGATGTGAACAAATCTGCTCAATGGCGGGCTCACACACGCACAACACACATCAACAACACACACCTGGGATGATCAAGTGTCTAACACTAATAGCTGCTCCTCCGCTTACTAAATATTATTCCCATGTATTACAGATATATCCGTAGATCTGTAGACTGTATGCTTTACCTTTAGATGCAACCTTTAGCTTACTGCAACTATTGCAACAAAAAGGAAAAGCAGTAAATTGCAAATATTTTCAATATTACACGTATATATCTAGAGACATATATATACCTACCTACATATAATTAATTACTATTACTAGTACTATAATTTACTAAAGTGAGGTAGCGAGTTTTTCCGGCTGATTGATCAATGATTGAAATACAATGTACGATGTATGTGTTTTGCTTATAAAATTCTGTTTTTTTCGTCTTGTTTTATATTAATTACTTAGGTTTTATATAAACAGAAGCGTAAAATAAAATATATTCTATTTAGAAATTGCTATCGGTGTTTTTTTTAAACCAATCAAAAACAAGCAGGGTTTTATATTTTATAAAATTATAATTTATTTTAATTATAACTTCTACTTTATACATTTAAATCAAGCTATGAGCTCATTAAGCCCGAAGGATTAATGTTCCTCTTCTTCGTCGTCGTCTTGATTTGGCTGCACACTGCCCTCCACATCGAAGAAGGATTTTCTGCTGCGTTTGGCCGTTGTTGCCGCCTGGCTATCGCCGAATTTGGCCGCCGTTCGCTTGCGCAGCTCCTCCACATCCTGGTTATCATCGTTGGCGCTCCACTCCAGGACCAAACGGCGACCGTACAGATGCGTACTGGCACTCAAAGCGTCAAAGGCGCGTTTGGCCTCCGCCTTGGACATGTAATCAACGAAACCGAAGCCCCGATGCGCCTCCTCGCCGGTGGTAGCCTTCTTGGGAATCCTCAAGGACCGCAGCTCGCCAAAAGCCCTGGAAACGAGGATAAGGATTAGTTTCAAGAGTTCCCCAACAGGTATGACCAATACCCACTTGAATATCTCTCGAACTTCGCGGTACTGCGCCTGGAAGGGAATATTCCGCACCAGAATCTTGGTGCCTGTTTGTTTCTTCTGCGAGGCCAGTCGACGTTGTGCTCCCTCATTGTCGTGTGTCCTGAAAAAGTTTGGAAGATTAATAAGCTGGCGATTGCACGCTTAATCGCCTGTCTTACTTGAGCACCCGATCGCTGCGCTTGAGCTCCACGGCATTGCCATCGATGTGGGTGAACTGCAGGTTCTTGAGCGCGTGCTCGGCCACCGAGGACTTCTTGAACTGAATGAAGCCGTAGCCCAGGGAGTTGAAGTTCCGGGGATTCTCGGGATCCCTCCGTTTGGCTATCTCCACGGTGTGGATGCTGCCCAGATGGCGAAAGTGTTTCTCCACGGTTTCCTGCACGGTCTTGAAGTTCAGATTGCGCAGGAATAGTGTGGTGTTTGGTTCGGGCTCATCATCGGCATCCTCCGCCCGGGGACTCTCCTCCTCCTTAACCTCCTGCTTCTCCTCCTCCAACTTATCTTTTTGTTTGGGTTCCTCTTTGGGTTCCGGTTCGGATTTGGGAATCACTGGCTCTCCACTGAGCGTCGTGGTAAAGACCTGCTCGGGAGCCCACTCCAAGTAGAGTGGGGCATTCTTGAACTTGCTGTAGGCCAACTTCTTGAATGCCTGCCTCGCCTCCGAGGGATCACAGTACTCGATGAGCGCCGTCACGCCACTGGGAGGCAGAACAATCCTGCCAATCGGGCCAAATTTACTGAAGACGGGCGTTAGCTCCGATGTTTCAGTGGCCGCCGGCAGATTCTTGGCCAGTATCACAGTGTTGGAGCGTTTCTTGGCGGGCTCATCGAAGGCATTCAACCGGACGCCCTCTTCCTCGAGGAAACGCTTCATTTCGATGACGATTTGGGTTTCCCCCAAAGCCAAGCGCACAGCGGCTCCGCTGCCGCCATCGCTGGTATCCAGGATGCGCTCCTTGGATGTCTTGAATTGCTTGGCCAGAATGTCGGCAACAGCATTTGCACCCAGAAACAGTGTGTTCCAGCCGATCGGTTTCTGCGCGTTTTTCTTGAGCTTCAACGCCTTCTTCTCTTTGAAAGACAGACTGGCATCGTTCTCATCCAAATCATCTTGTGGGTTCTTCTCGATATCCTTGCCGGGCAGCAAGTGCAGCAAACGACCATGGAAATCCGTGCCATCCAAAGCATTAAAAGTCTTCAAGGCGTGCTCCGGCATCATGTAGGTGACGGTTCCAAATCCCTTGATCTTCCGGGTGAGCTTGTCCACCGGCAGATTCACCTCTACGACGGGACCGAACTGCTCAAACAGCTTACGCAGCTCCTCTTCCGTGGTGGTGTAAGCCAGATTCCGAAAGAATATCCTCCCGGACTCCGAGATGTCGTCCTCCTTGGACAGACTGTCCTGCTGGTGCTTCCACTTGGCATTGCCCGCATCTGCGGCAGCAGGAGCTACTGTTTGGCCGCTCTTGTTCGCCTTGGTCACCTTGTTCTTCTCGGTAAAGTCGGAGAAGAACACCTGCTTGCCCTTGATGAAGCTCTTGTTCTTGAGCATCCCCTTGGCCATGTCCTTTTCCGTTTTGAAGCCGACGTAGCAGAAGCCGTGCACTTTGCTGGGCAGTCGCACAGAGTAGGGTTTTAGAGGTTTAAAGAACTTGAGCACCTCCTGGCGCTTGGTGTTGTAAGGCACATTGTGGATTTTGATGGTGAACAGCTCCAGGTTGGATTTGTCCGACTTGGTTTTGGTCTTCTTTGTGGTGGTATCACCAGGGGTGGCCATCAGGGATTTCATGTACTCCAGATCGCTGATGGGCTTTTCAGCCAGTTTGCCGTTGTCTTCTTTATCTTCTTCGTCTGCTTCATTTTCAGAAGCATCCTCATCCTCATCTCCTGCACCTGCATCTACTCCGCTGTCATCCCTGCCAGCTGGTGGGTCTTCCGGATCCTCTTCGTTATCCTCCTCTTCCTCGTTGTTATTAACCCCCAAATCGTTGCCCCACAGAGTGCGTGACTTGTCATGGGCCTGCAGGAACTCCTGGAACTCGGGATCGTCCTTGTGTTTGCCCAGTATCTGATCCACCTTGTCCTTTTTATCCTTGCTCTTTTTCGTGGACTCCTTGGACTTGGCCGCCGCTGCCTCCTCCTCCTCCTTGGCCTTCAGTTTGTCCAGGTTCTTCTTGCTGTCCTTGGCGTACTTGCTCCATGACTGGGGCTTGTCCTCGCTGCCCAAAGCTGCGCAGGATTCAACTCGCACCCGGCTGGTTTGGATACATGTGTTGTTGAAGTGCTGGATGGCCGACTGGGCCTCCTCCTCGGAGCTGTATCCCACGAAGCAGAACTGCCGGAACTTACCATCGGGCGTATATTTTAGCTGCAGGTCCGTAATCGTTCCCTGGGCACCGAAAATCTGACGCAGTTTGTCCTCGGTTATCTGGAGAGCGGGATATAAACATTAAATATAATTTCTAAGATTCAAGCCCAATTTACTTACATGCTTGGGAAGCTGCTTTACTATAATTCGCGACATTTTTTGGTTAATTGGATTGGCTGCGGACTAAAAATTAATCTAAATGCATTTTTGTTTACAAAAAACGCGCACGTGTATTAGAGGTGGTTATCAATTAGAGATGGAGGCAATATCGATTCATCGATATCTTGCCATTCTTGACAAATCGATATATTTTAAAATTCAAAGTGCAATACGTTAGGGTTTTCAACAAAGTATTGCAATGAAAGTATATTTAAAATTAATAAATGTATTAAATAACCCACCCCCCAAAACACACCCCCACAAAGCGATATTTGAAAGTACTATTACTCAATTTGTCCATTAAAACATAGGTATTTTTTATTAGAAGCAGAAGAAAACGTTTTAACGTGATTAATGATAATCTGTGTATGTCGAATGCATAATCTCTAGCAGGCCTCGCATAGCTTGCTCCTTATCTCATCCAGTTGAATCTTAGCTGTCAGGCTTATCCAAGTCAGATTATCCAGTTCCTCCCGCCACATTTCAGTTTCGTAATCCGCGTTGGCCAAGTTGTCCCTTAAGATTATTGCAACTCTGTCGATAGCATTTTGTTCCATTTTCAGAGTCCTTTTTATTTCCATCTGCATTTCTTGTAACTCAAAAGCGTGCTTCCGGCGATTCTTAATGGCCCTGCGTTTCTTGCATATACAGAATACAAGCACAAGCAACAAAATCAGCACTATTAAAAGTAGCATGATTAAAATATATTATATATTTTTGTTGATTGCTTGAGTACTGCTGACGTTACTTATAGTGCCTACTATTTTAAACATCGGATTAAGCTAGGTTTGAAATATTTATAACCGTTATATTTTATTAGGGCGCTGATCACACTAATGCCAAATTACTAAACTTAAAGATTTCGATAGTTGTCAATAATACATTTTAGTAACATAAAAATAAAATTAAATATTTAAAAGAATGCTTTTTGTACATGGCATTATCTTTATTTAGACATATTTCCATCGAAAGCCAAACTTTAAAATGTAGGATTCAGGTATGTAAGAATTAAAGTTAAGTTTTTGTTTTAGGTATATTTTATTTCAAACACTCCACTCGCACTGACGAAACCCTCTTAATATATACAAATACATAACACAAGTACGTCTAGAGATATTTAAAAACATTAGCTGACATCTTTGTGTGCATTATTTTGTTGAAGACACGCAAAAAAAAACAAAACAAAACAGTGAGCCGAGAAACCAACTAGACTTCAAACGTTCATGGGCAAGCTCAACCAACAATTAACGAAATCGGCTAGATAATCAACGGAAATTCCATTACAGATATACACGATCACTTCTTGAAGCAGATCTTGAGTATTCGGATTACGGGCGCCTCGAAAAAGGCGGATATGACAAAGGCCGAGCCGAAGGACACGACGGCATTGCCCAGGAACAGGGTCAGGATGAGGGGATTGCTCAGATGGACAGTGCCGCTCATGTGCGAGGAGCAGATGAACATGATGATGGGGTGGATCAAGTAGGCGCAGTATGTGAGCCGCGAGAGGGGCCACATGACGCGATACGACAGGATCGCATTGACGGTGGGCGCCAGTCCCCAGCAGCAGGACAACACGATCCACACCAATCCGCATCCGAAGGCGGTGTGGGCCACGCCCACGTAGAAGGCGGTGTTGACGGTGCTCAGCTGTCCCTCCCAGACGCCGAAGACCACGATCAAAAGGACAAACAGGCTGCCCGCCCAAAGGGACAGGTTCAAGCGCCTGGAAACCAGCGGTGGAGTCTTCACCTTGTACAAAACATAGCCGGCGCACATGCCTGAAAATAGATGGATGGATACAAGGGGTGAGTCGAGCATTTTTTACCTTAATAAATATATTATTATTATTGTTGAACAAATACTTTTTATTAAAAAAAAAATATTAATATTTTCTGTATTATTTTCATTCAATAGTATGCCTTTATAACTGCTTTGAACCTCCCTGTTATATATTTTTTAAAGTTATAAATTGAATGGTTGTACAGAAATGTGACCCAGACCTGCAATTTTTGACCAGTTGATATCACATTATTGTAAATTACTTTACGGTTTAATTCTTTAAAAATCTATATTCAAATTTGTATAGCTATTTCCTAAGTTTTTAATCGCTTGCAGAAGTTTACATGCCAAATTAGTAGCTTATTTCATTTAAAATAGCTTGTGTAAATTGGTTTTCCCATTTCATTTTTAGCTTTTGTGGGGTGCCCTAATTTGGCAACTTCTACGAAGTTTGATTGAATATTTTAGAGAGCTTACTCACCCACAATATAAGAGCCTACTCGCTGCCAGGGCTTGTCATAGAGGAAGTCGAAGGACTCGAAGGGCAGGGCCACCTTGTGGACGTACTGATGCTGCAGGGAGATGATACCCGAAATGCTCCACGAGCTGAGCAGAAAGACGAGCAGCGTAACAGCCACAGCTTTGAAGTATCTAAGGGAAAGGGAGTTAAGCAATGCGGTTCAGGACAGGAGCTTTAAACCCACTTTCTGGCCAGGGCTAGGAGCAGAGCAGCCATCACATAGAACTGCATTTCATTGGCCATGTACCAGCTCCACATCATGCACATCTCCGTCTGCGGAAAGTAGTTGTTTATATACAAAATGTTGCGCCACCAGTAGACGCGGCAAGTGTTGTGTTCGATTTTGGCCGGTTGGAAGACCGAAGAGTCCAGGCCTTGTCTGCAAAGTGTAATCCAGATTATAAAAAAAAGGGTGATGTCATAAATAGACCTCACCTCACGGCAAAGTCATTGAAAATGACCACGAAGAGGTAAACTGGAGTCAGTCGCAGATAGCGGTAGAGCAGCATCATAAACGTTTCCGAAAAGCTGCGTTTTATGAAGAGGCAGGTGTCCGCAGGATGTTTGCGATCCTGCTTGAAGTAGAGCAGAGTGACTAGCAGGCCGCTGATGAAGAAGAACGAGTCCACCGAGAAGGTGGCATTGCCGATCACCTGATACCACACGGAACGCTCTGTGATGACCCTTTCGAACTGTGTTTCAACTTGGTTTATACTCATGTTCGGCCAGCCAAATAGCTTGGTAAATACTTACTTTATTCTCGCCAATGGCAAACATCTGCAGATAGGTGTGCACCATCATTGTCCAAAGTACGGAGAAGACCCTCAAACCATGCAGACAGGAGGTGTGCGTCTGTTAAGGGAATCCAGCAGTAGCAGATAAATTGATCTTTATGGATACATTACCTCAAAACTTACCTCCTTGGTCTTGTCGATATTTAGAATGGCTTTGGCATTCGTTTGCAAGGCAAAGCACAACAGAATTTGTTGGTGAAAGGCTGGAAAAGACGATTAAGTGTGTAAGGAGCAGGATGAATCGTAATCTACTATACGTTATATCTCCGAAATAGTAAGCTTACAATCACTTAAGACTCACCGATGGGTTGCTCCGCCTCATAAGTTCCAGTGGCTCCACCACAGCTCCCAGTTTCGACTTGGTAATCGTTCAATTCCGATTTGCCCGCCATCGACCCCATCGATGTGGAGGTGTTGGGGTCACAAACCACACCTGGAACACAGTCAGCCATGTCGGCTGAATCCCCCGATCGTTGTCTATTTCCATTGACATCCATTTCGGGACCGTCGGCTGCGGCAAGTGTGCTGCCCAAAGGACGCATCTGAAAAAGCTCGAAGGGTTTGCCATAGAAGCCACCATTCTTGGCCGAAGTTCCATCGCATTTGCCACTGATGGCCGCAATGGGGGCCACCATCAAACGACGCTCATCGATCTTGAGCTGGTAATAGGATGCCACCAGGATCACCAGAAACAAGGTGAGCATAAAGCTACTGCAGGGAGATTACAACTGGGATTAAGGAGGGAGCTTGGCTATGAGGACAACCTACATGAACACCTGGAACTTGAGCTGCCGCCAGTGACTATACGGTCCAGGCACAGTGCGGACGTGCAGAACCTGGAGCGGAGGTTGCTGCACCGAGGTATTGTGTGCCCCCAGGACAGTCAGCATTCGCGCATAGGGATCCAGGGACAAAATGGACTGGACATCGTGGGCGGAACAGGATTTGGGCAGGCACTCGCCCAGACTCAACAGCATCTGCAGAAAGAGCGGGGTTAGTGGCTCTAAGCCAGTACTCGAAAGCGAACACCCACCGATCGGTTCAGGCGGGGCAAGTGGAGGGCCACGTCTGCCACATAGAACTCCAGATCGAAGTGCTTGCGCTCCTCGCTGGAACTCTGGCGATTGAGCTCATAGCAAAAGGATAGCTGACCCAGCCATTTGTCGTTGCCAAAGAGCAGCTGGCCGCGATAGCGTCCCGACGAGTCGTAGGCTGGAAAGGATTGCAGGGCAATTGGATCAGAGATCGGGGGCTGGTCCATGGAGAGACTCACCCTTTTGGGCCCACTCGTAGCTGGAATGCAGGGCCGTCAGATAGGCCTGCATCTCGAGGCCGCAGCCCGTGCGAACACTCGTCCGAATCTCGGATATCTGCCAGTAGAAATGGTCGTAGAGATTGGCCACCAGCTGGAAGTAGTTGGCCTGGCCATAAAGACTCTCGGCCATGCTGCCGTTTCCCGTTCCATTCGCATTGGCGCCCAAGTAGCGATTAATGCTATTGATGGTACTGCCCAAGGTCTTCAGCTGCAGGTCATCATCACCGCTCTGCTTGAGCAAATCGCGGCCCAGTTTGGGCGCCATTTGGGGTTTGCTGCGCAGGATTTTCAGGATGTGAGTGCTGGAAGTGGTGGTGGTGGATGCTGAAGCCGGAGGAGTCATCGTCGTTGTTCCCGGCGAAGTGGCCGTGGTGGGCTCCGTGGAGAACTCGGCTATGTCCACATCCACAGTGTCGTTCTCATCGGGATTCGAGGGACTATAGCTGGTGTCCGAGGCCAGGACATGCTGCTCCTGACTGCTGAGGTCCCCCTTCTTGATCACCTCGTGCTCCAGATCCTCCAGATCGCCCAAGTTGAAGTCGAATGTGACCGGGTGCAGTTCGTAGTCCTTGAGTGGATGCGGTGGCTTGACATAGTCAATGCTTGGCAGGATCTTCTCCAGCGGCAAGTAGGGTTTCTTCTTGAGCGGCTTAAGCGGCAGCACTTCGTGGGTGTTTAAAACTAGTGGTGACTCGGCGGAGTCCGTTTCCTGCACTTCATGCAGAATGGTGATGTTGCCGTTCCTGCTGCTCGTAAACCGATGTCCTGTGAGCGCCTCTGCCGCCTCCTGTTTCTGTGTCTCATTCGAGCATTTGGCGTAGCTGCAGGAGATGAGCAGTAGAACGGCCACCAAAGCAATCCTCGAGTATTGCATATTTGCCACTGGGATTTGGGCAATGGGCAGTGGGCAATGGGCTTCCTTCCCTCTTCAGTCCACTCTGCCACTTTACACTGCGTTCTGGGTTCTGGTGGTGCACTGCCGACTGCCTGTTGAATCTCTGGTGCAATGTTCGGCTAATCTCTGCCCTGCATTGTCTTAGGTATTCTGATGGTTTTCCCGCGGGACGCAGTTGTGCGCACAGTTGTCTGCTCCTTTGTGCTCCTCCGCTGTCATTGTCGCAATCTCAGATTCTGGGCGGTGTTGGGTCGGTCATGGGTGGTCGGTGGTCAACTGAAAGGAAGGCTTCATCGTGATAAGAACTCCAAAGGACTGGGGATTTAGCGGGCAAGAGACTTTGGACTTGGCTGTGCTCTTCGATAATCTTGGATTTTTCGGACGCAATTTGCACTTGTTTATGAATCGATTTTCGTTTTGATTTGTTTCTAGGCAGACCAGCGATCTGTTTTGGAGGCTGTCTGCGAAAAAGCTGCAAGGGGAAAATTGCAAAATTTCCTGAAATCCCAATGAGAAAAACTTGTTAAACGTGTTGTGACCACCAGTCGTGGTCGTGGCCAAGCTGGAAAAGCGTCGACGCGTCGGGAGGTTATTGGTATCATTGGTTATATAACTTCCGCGTATCAAATCGCCAAGATGGTGTGCCGATGATCATCGCCACTGCCCACTTGCTGTTGCACCACATTATGCAATTTCATATTGATCAATCAAAGAGAACCTATTTATAATTCGCACATGAAAACAAAAAAGAAGAACTTAACGGAGCAGCAGTGGGATTCGAACTTGTGTCCGAAGATAGGTACTACTCCTTTTTCGACTTGAGAGGCAGTCTGGACTTAAAATGGATACCGAGCGGGTAGTTTGTTTCTGTGTACTGTCGATTAGATCGCCATTAGAATGTCCAAGTCAGGCAAAAAGTGAAAGGTGAGGGTCCGATTTGCCCCTACATATGTATATGCACTCTTGAGTGGGTGGCTTTGCAAAACAGTTGTTAGCCCACCAACCGAACAAACAAAAAAAACAAAATCCAAGTGGCAATTGGATGGACAAACATGTGTGCAAGCCAAGCCAAGCCAATCCAAGCAAAACCAAGCCAATGCAAAGAAAAGCAAACCGAAATGTGTGTGTTTTTCTGGACGGGTCTTGTCTGATTTTTTTTGGGCTAGACCACGACGACAACCGAACCGATGAAAGTAAAAACCGCAACTGATCAAGCGCCGCCAACGTTGGCATCTAAGAGCTGGAGCTGGGAGCTCGGATTCGGATTTGGATTCGGACTCCGATTCGTGGCTATATGGAGGCCTTTGAGTGGAGCTGGGAGCCATGAGCTAGGAGTCTCTGAATCGCACAGCCGAAGTGTGTGGAAAAGCGCTGCAAAGCAAACATGCAGAAGGCATATTATATGCACTCGCAAAAACCTGACAACTGCAAATGCAAACGGCAACGGCGAACTGCAAAAGCAAAGGCAACTGCCTAAATGAAACCAAACGAATGCTTTTTATGATCAATTTTCGCCATCAAAGCTGGAAGTGTGTGTCTGTGGCCGCAAAAGAGAGGTGATCTCGGCTTGGATTGGACTATTCGTATTCGAGTATTGGAGTATTCGAGTATTGGAGTGGAGTGACCTGATCGGATAACTCGCACAACTCGCACAACTCGCTCCCATATGCATGGTCGAAAAACAATTGCCACAATAATAGCAGTGGCACGACGACAGGCACCTGGCATAAAAATGTCGCAATGATCCAAAATCCATTCATTCGCACACAAAACAATGTCCAATGTCCAGTGGAAAGCCTGTGATCCACGCCCCTTGGAACACTTTCGATTGCATAAAGTAGTCGGTCTTTAAGATCAGAGATTGGTTTTGGGGAAACCCTAGTCAGATAAATTCTTAAGAATTTTATCTACAGAATATCTGTATATCAAAGAATAATGTAATAATAATACTGTGAGTCAATATGATACAAAGAATTAAACCAAAATGAGGTATGTATGTTTAAGTTATACGAAGCCAACTAAAATGGATTCTAATAATAAGTTATCAGATCTTTGTTCTTAAATCATTATGAAACTATTCAAGGAATAATTTCAATTCATTTTAATTTAGTTAATATGGGAATAAAATGACTTGAAAAATTGAATGACAAATAAATAATAAAAGACGGATGGAAAACTCCTGCCGATCTCAAGATCTCCGTACCCGAAAAGAGTGATCAACTGGTCAGCTATCCACTAACCACAAAGGTTGACAAACTATTCCATGTTTCTTCCTTTGCAGTGCGTCTGCGTCTAATGCGTAATTGGACTTGGGACTTGAGACTTGAAACCCGAGACGCGACTTGAACATGAAATACTTGATTTCAGCGGAGGCCCAACACCTGTTGGGTAATTGGAAAAGTTTTTGGCCAAGCCAGAAGTCAGCCGCGAAGAAAGCGACTCATTAGGAGATAAACAAATCACACGAGCAATCAGCATGTTGCAATGCCCAATAGATGGAACAAACGACCTCAAGTTTGCGAAATAGGTAGCCGCGACTTGCAAGAGATGATCTCTCTGCACAGGAAAAAAACTCAATATCGATCTGGTAATTGAAGTTTTTTCATAGAAAGTTTACTATTTTAAGCTAATTCTCACTATCATCGAACTATCATTAATGAAGTTCCCAATAATAATGTCTAAAATCACCAAAGGGACCACCATAACATATCTGTTTTTCTTTCTGTGTGCCAATGGTTAATAGGTAATAGTCGTCCACACCCCTGGATCTATAATTCTCTTTGATATATTTACTCATTGATGAACATTAATGAAGTTCCCAATAATAATGTCTAAAATCTCCAAAAAGGCCACCATATCATATCTACTTTCCTTTCTGTGTGCCAATGGGTAATGGGTAATAGTCGTCCACACCCCTGGATCTCTGGATCTCTGGATCAGCACGAGCCGACGAACCGACGAGGCAAAGAGGCAACGAGGCAACGTTTCCAATGACTGGGCAGCCTGGCAGACTGGGTGATAGTCGTCGTCATTAAGTGAGTGTGCCAGCGAGTGTGGATTGGTAAACGCCGGAGCCGTATTTGTGATGCAATTTGCCAGAAACTCCATGGTTACGCTGGCCAGGCGGTGGAACAATAAAAACAGCCAGCTCAAAAAGAGAAGCCAACGAAAAACGAAGCCGATGGGAAAACACGCTAACTAATTTTCTTTACCAATACCGGAAACTAAGTCATTGGTTTTTCTTAGTTGTCTTTGGCTTGTTAAAGCTTTACTCGTAAAGCTCCACAAAAGAGTCTAGTATAATTCATAGATTTATAAGATATTACTGGCTCTATACAATATATTAGCCATAAGCTATAGACGGAAACTGTAACAGCTCTTGTTAGAGAATAAAAAAAAAAGGAAATGCCTCGAGTTATTGCAGATTGGCTATTGCTTGGGCAACGAGTGAATTATTCCCCTGGATTTTCACGAAAAAATGTTGATTTTTAATGAAACTACCAAATGACTTTAGGGAAAATTTTCCCGATTTTTGCGTTGCCTTATGCTCATTAACCCAATGCCTCGGACTTTCCATTTGATGATTCGAAGTCTTTAACACGTTGTCTACTTGGAACTATCTTGGCATTTATGTTGCACACTTTTGGGCAGTGTTGTTAGGAAAAGTTAGGCATATTTATGGGGTTTAAATACAGTATGGGGTTTTAATTGGCAATAAGAAAATAACTTTTCTTAAGATCTAATAGAGATTGTGTATCTGAGTGACCACTGTAAGTTAATTGTATACTTAATCAAGGCTTTCTGCCGGTTAGGATTTTTTTAAAAATTATTGTTTATTTTAGAGATGGAAAAGGAATTTTCCTTAATTTAAAAATATATATGTAATGGGTTTTAGGACTTAGAAATGTATTATCCATTGGGTAATTGTGTAAAATTAAGCTCATAATAACATATAGTGAAAGACAGGCTGGCCAAAATAGGATTGGAGGTCAAAAGTTCATTTTCCCCCCCTTAAAAAGTCAAGGTCATATATCTTTCGACTGAAAATGAAGGCATTTCCCAAATGCATTTGGCATTACCATAGAAAATGGTGAAAAATTCTCAGTGCCTCGGCAAACCCGCTTACTTATTACAATTTTAGCGCCTAACGACTGCTAACGGTACGGCAGAAGACATTAGCAAATGTCGACGAGGAGCAGAAGACCGTCTGGCATCTGGAAATCGGGAGTTTCGGAGGCGAGTGGAGAGCCGAGTAATCATCATCAGGCCAAATGAAGCTTGGCCCATCTATTTGAGTGCGGAGCAGGCAATATACAACTGGAATTCCAGTATTCGCGTCCGGAATGGGGCACAATATATAATCACCGATCTTAATGGCGAAAATATTTTGATAGTTGATGACCCAGAAGCGGGAGAACTAAGACAATGCCTGATCGCCATTTGGCCGGGGTTACCAGGTCAATGAATCCATCAGTGGAGCCCCACAGATCATGCGACCGTTTCGAATGGTGAAAATGTTACTCAAGGATTTCCGATGAAAAGGGATCCCTTGTACAGTGTGTGTTGCGAACCCGTTAGCTCGGGCCAAATTGTTAACATGTGGGGACGCTGATCATAACCATAATCGGGACTGTAGTTGCATGCTGTATGCTAATGTGCCTTGTGTCGCGGTCATTTGCTTTTTCCCATGGCCCATCGAGAATCCCAGAATCCAGTTAGCCAATTCAGTTGTCCAAGTACACAGAAAGGAAAAGATACTAGATTTTATATTTGCGGGTTAAACAGAAACTTACTATGAACACCTAGCTGACGTGGTAAACTTCCCTAAATTGAATATAAATGTAAAAAGCCAGGTTCGAATCCCACTGCTGTCCTATGAATTTTATTATTTTACTATTGCTGGAGCAATATTTGTCAAGCCCGGGTTATAATTGTTATTGTTTTTCCACTAATAAGTTTTTTTTTTGATTTTATAGTTTAAATTAAAAAAAAAAAAAAATTGTTTCCATTTGTTTATGTATATAAGCCTTAAAAATCAAATAATTTTTTTTTTGTGTAGCCTTCTCTTCTGTCTCGTTTGATGCTTTTCAATTCGTCAATTGGATGGACTCTGGACTCCCAGTTTGGTAAAGGTAACGGCTTTGGGAGAGGTTTTCCT